TGTCTCTGACTCTTTGTCTAAAATGCCTCCCAAGGTACTTATGGGAACTGAATGGTTAATAGAAGGGAAGAGTCTGGCATAATACTCTCACAGATTTGATGCTTAATAAAATTTGCTGCTTTTCCTGACTCCTTCTCTCTCATTCTAGCCAGGTCGTCCTATTTATTCTCCATCCCCTTCTTTCTTTCCTCTTGGTGGAGTCTGGAGCAGGGGAACTTGTGGTGGAGGCCTCAGAGGATTCGCAGATACTAGGGATTCAGGTTAGCATTAAACGAAAGTAAAGAATAAGCTCCTCTGGACCTGGCAGTACAAAGACGGAGACAGCAAGAATCTTGGGAAATTCAGAGATAGGGAGAGAAAGGATGGTGGGGCAGGGTGAAAGGTACTCCTGGTCCTTCTGGTCCAGCTCTTTCTCACATATAAATAAAAATGTTGAAGTCAGGGGATCTGGAATAACAAAAGGTAGTAGACATACCCTGCAGAATGAGAGCAAGCAGGTCCCCCACCCAACTCCCCCACATGCAATCTCTGCCTGTGTTCCAGTTGAAATTTATGCTAAGTATTATTTACTGTCCAAAATGAGGAAGAGGAACATCCCCAACTACAGATCCTGGGCTTTGGGGCACAAAGACCAATAGGAGTCCATTATGTACATGGCTCTTCCTATAGTCCCTCCCAGCCCAACTCTCCAGGATTTAGTTCTTGCTGCTCTGAGTGACTTCCCACTCTGGTTATTACAGCACAAGGAGGCCACGAATCACAGACATCGGTCTTCCCACAGGTAACAGGGCTGGGGATGCCAGTGGGCCCAAGGAAACAGGGAATGGGTTAGAGGAAACAGGGAGAGGGGGCTTTGGGTCTTAGGTGGGAGAAAAGGAGAAGAAATAGGACAGGGGCAGTATGGGATTTAACAACCAAGTGGAGACTTGAGGCTCTATTCCTGTCCCTGGATTCTAGACTGTATCATGCAGCCATAATCCCCAGTGACAGTTCCCATCTCTGGCCCAATTCCAGTTTGATCCTCAGCCCCAACTCCACCCTCAGCCCCAAACCCAGCTCCTCCTGTAATGTCAACCTCGGCATCAACCCAGATCCAACTTGAATCTCAACCCTGAGCCCAACCCCAAACTGAACCTCAGCCCTATTCTATTTCCAGGTTCAGTGCCACAATTAGGTCCAGTTCCATCCATGGCTCCAAGGTGACTTCTGATGCCAAATTCTGGCATGTGTCACAGCCTCAAGTCCAGTCCAATTATAGGCCCAGTCAAAGCAACAGATTTAGCTTTAACTTCACTTCCAATGTTAAACCCAACTGAACTTGATTCTGGCCCAAAGCTCAATTCTGACTCCACTTGTAACCTCAACTCCAAACTCAGGCCCTAATCCAGGGCTCATTCTCTTGAGGAACCTCATTGCTTACCTCAGGTCCTCCCTGCTTTCAGCCTCCTCCTTGGCCATAGCACCCAGGCAGCCTGGGCCCAGGACTCTTAGTTTCACCTCTTAGAGCCACGGAGGCTACATTGGTCCAAGCATGGTAATGAAGTATGAAGATCTCCAGCACTTGGGGAGTGAGGAGGAAAACCAGGAGATCAGAAAAGGTAAGAGGACAGGAGAAGTGTCCTCTACTAAGATGCACTCTTCGTATGTCTAGCAGGATTTCTACTGTCACAACCCGTATTACCTCTCCCATGTCCAATGTTGGGTCCCCCACTATGAGGGGATCAGTCCTAGGACTCTGAGAGCCCAATATGAAGAGGACTCAAGGTCTTCAGATAAACAGGGATAGGGAAGACCTCTGTGGACCTGGTTTCCTGTGCTCTATGGGGAGGGGATGAGAGGTATCCTTTGCAGGTAGTTAGTCATTTGTTCACCTGATCATAGGTGAACCTGCTATGGGCCTAGCTGACTCCAACACTGTCAGGGTCCTTGTGCTACCCTCCCTAGCTCTGATGATAAGACGTAACTTTTCTCCATTGTCCATGTCTAAGTCTGCTTATGTGCACTCTGGTTTCTAGGGGTGGGTATATGGGTCTCTCAGGGCATGAAAGGTCCATGTCCTGGAGATTTGGTGCTGGTTGTGAGGGATCAAAGGCTGATCTGTCCTCACCCCATAGTCTTCTTCCTGCTCTACTCCAGCTTTATCAGGGCCCATCCTTATTCCGAGAGAGGTCCCTGGGCCCCCTCTTCTGTCTCTGGTATGTCCTAGATCTCACTTTTCCTGATACTCTCTTCTCTTTCAGCACCTCCACCCCAGGTTGGCCTCTGGTATATCTGCTCTGAGCATCGCCTCATCCTGTTATCATTGGGCCTCAACCTCCTGCTATTGGTGGCTGTCTGTGTGATTGGATCCCAAAGTGGGTACTCCAGGGGTACACAGAAATCAAGGGGATACAGTGGTGGAGCAGGGATGGGGCTAATGGCAAGACCCCAGCAGAAGCAATGATGGGCACAGTGAAACAGTGTGGGGCACCATTGAGGGGTCGTAATTGGGTGGTTGATGAGAACAGTGGTAGTGAAGGAGCCATGATTGGAATGGCTTTTGGCTGTGTCACTGTTTTGTTGGGTTTTGTAGTTGAATTACTTTTCCCTCTTGTTTGATATTGGATAACCACAGTGCCTGCCCCTCTGGCTTGCTGTGAGGACTGAATGAGACAATGTGTGTAAAGTGTCCTGCTCTGTGCTGGCAGAAAGGACCTGATCAATCTTAGTTCTGATCATCTCATTCTCCTCATCAGATTCCAAGTTACACAGGGACCTGGGCACCCTGAGGACAACTTTCAGCAATTTCAGTGTAGACACAGGGGCCAATGTCCAGGCACTGACCTCCCATGGTGAGCTGGGCTTGGGTGGGGTCTGGGCTGGGTGTATGTATGTGTGGGCTGACTCCTGATCTCAAGTCCCTGTTTCCTTCAGGTCAGAGTTTGCAAGAAACCATAACCTCTCTGAAAGCTGAGGTGGAGGATCACAGGCAGGAACTGCTGGCAGGTGAGAGACCCTGTTCTCTAAAGCATATGGAAGGGTGTGCATGGGAGAAGCATCCTGGTGCTGAACCCTCTCCCCTCTAGCCCACAGCTTGAACCAGAAGGTGGTTTCAGTGGAGAGCAGCCTGCAAAAACAGGAGCAGGACTTCAAAGCAGGTCAGATGGCTGTTCCAGTGTACCTTGGCATGATGTATTTGTGGGAGCACAGGAAGATCCTAGTGGGGTGCCTGAGTAGTGGTCACACCCAAAGTACTCTCATGAGTCCCCCATATCTGTGTTTCAGGTCAATCTGAGGTGGTCCTGCAAGTACAACGATTGGCAAAGAATCTAGGAACCCTTAATTGCCAGCTGTCCAACCTCAAGAACAATGGTGAGGAGCTGGGCAGGCATGGCTGGCTCCACTTCACCATTGA